TAGTATATGTATGAGTCAAGCAGAAAAGGCCAGATAAGGTGATGTTAGGAAAATGAACCCTAAGATATGTATTCAACTGTTTTTTCTTTCATGCATGTGTTTCTAACGCATTTATAAGATTATTTCTTTGTTGCTTTGTATGTCCCTCCCCCACAGTATAACCCCTGCTTTCACTATTTGATGTCGGTATAATTTGTGGAGGGGAAGGGGAAAAACAAGTCATTTAAATAAGGATACAGGTGGACCCGTTGCAACAATGAGAAGTAGAAGTTGTCATGTCCCAAACAAACTTTACAAATTTGTTGGGGGGCGGGAAGGGAGGATTAGGTGGAGGGGCAGGGAAGGAATGGGAAGGGGAAACAAAGGAGGAGGCTACAATGCTTGATAAGAAATGTACTCACTATCTTGCCCATATAATTGTATCCCCTCTGTACAGTATTTTCACAATAAAAAAAAAAAAGAGAGAAAGATGTTGACTGTTGTGTTTACTTTTCTTTTTCCCAAAATGTATGTGAAATGGGCCCTGGAAAAAAAGCTGGAATTATAAGGCAGAGGCCCTATGACATTCTTTCACAAGCAAAAGAAAGTAAACAATATGGGTTACTGTAATAAACTAGTAAGATACTTTTAACAATTAAAAATCCCATTAATCAGTAAATGTATCAAAGCATGCAAGAATATCATTTAGAGGAGAAGGAATATGTAGAAATTTTCATTGAAATAAAGAAAAAGAGGTATTTCTTTTCCAGAATGAATATAGACAATATGACAAAAAAAGGTTTTCTTTTCTTCGAAAGATTGAGAAGACTAAGAATATCAAATGCATAAGGATACACAATTCACCTTTCTCATTTCTACAGAGAACAAAAGAAAATGGAACATACTCAAATGAAACCAGAGCCAGCAAATGGAGACAAATCCCAGAAGAACAGGCTCCTGATTCCAACTGTACCCACATGTAGTCAATCCTGAAATTTCCCAGTTATGGGAGTTAAAATTCTCTTTTCTGTTTAAGTATTTATGAGATGGTTAAAAATGTTCTCATAAATATGAGAGACAAGGAAAGGATCTGAATTGTGTTTGCATTTATCGACTCAAACCTCAAAAACTTTGCAGCACCTCCCACTCCAAGAACAAAATCACTATCAACCTTGAAGGTTTTCTAATTCAATACACATGGATATTCCAAATGATACCATTTCCCAAAACTTGCTGATAATAATCATATTTGTTTAAAAAAAAGAAAGAAAAAAAGAATGAAGAAGTAGAAGAACAGCGTTCCCCACCACAATCCACTTGTTGATTCCCTTGGCTGACATACATTCTGTATGCACTTTAACACAAACAATTTTTATTAAGAAAGCCAACTAGGTTCATTAAAAACCATGATCAATTATGGAAATACCATAATAAAGGCTTGTTTTGTAAACCTGAATACTCACCATAATGAACTATACTTGTTAAAAGACTATCTCAGAAAAACAAGCAAAAATCATATCCATTTCTAGCAGCTAAATCAATAGTTAAATCAATCCCTCATCTAAGGTTTCAAAAGACAAAGAAACCATAGGAAACAAGGCATACTCACAAGTTGTACAACATGTCTGCCATGTTGCTGCGGTAGTACAAAGCATTTCTATAGGCGCTTTCAGCTTCAGAAATTTTGCTCTGACTCTTGAGAACATTTCCAAGGTTACCCCATGCTGGCAAGAAGAAAAAGTATTCAAGTTAGGCATCCATCCAATTACATACTACACAGTATCAGGCCATCAGGAAGTACTATGAGGAGAAAAAACTTCATTAAGCATATTAAAGAATAAAAAATGTATTCATACTTCAAAATTTCATCAACCTGAGAGATTAAATATAATCAAAGTCTAAAACTAAATAAAGCAATTCATATGCCTCAAAGCTGATATCTTTACAGTTTATCAATGGGCCAAGAACAATGCTATCTTAAGATTACCCACAAAGACTCCATGTTCTTTCAACTTTCAATAGGGGTTTTTTATGGTCTGAAATTATTGTATACTTACTGGACCAGAAACAGTAATAAATCATCTTAAGATAAAAGTTTCATTTAAGTAGGAAATAATCACAAATGACACAGAAGAAGGAGAAATGAAAAGCAAAAATTATAAATAAGATCAAAGCTATATATCATGCTTTGCTTGATATCTGTCCATATTAGAAGCATATCTTCCTTCATATAAAGATTATGCATATATGGTATACTCAGATACAATTTTCTTATTCCTTCTTACTCTAAGCTCACTTTGGGGAAAGTTTGTCAACATTCAATCATGTTGAAAACTGTGTAATTTTATAAGCTCTCCATTTGTTCCCTGGATAGTTATAATTTTCAGTATTAAAAAAAAAGAGCATCCATAAATGCTCACAAAGCATGGCTCTCAATGGTTTCCAAACAAGTCTAGCTTTTGAGTGCTTGCTTTTTCCATCTGTTTTGCTTCCCACAAGGAGCCAAAAGTATTAATTCGTGAAACTGGGGACTTTCTCTAGCAGGAACATGGACATGGGAGAAGGGTTTCTATGTGCTCAACGATATTTATATGGTTAATTATTGAATATACTTGAAGAATGCAAAAAGGTTTGGAGGTATTCATTTTAATGCATTTACAAAGAGGTGCTTCTTTCAGATTCCAATTTGCCAGCAGTCCTATAATGGAATACTCTGCTCTGTAAAATGGGGAAAAAGTGTCTCATAGATTTGTGATGTGAATTCAGTGAGCTATATGTTTCAGGGTGTGCTCAAAGCATGAAAATTACTTTTAAAAGATTTGCTAATTGATTTGCTAACCCCTGTTTTCACTGTATTTGATGTTGGTATAATTTGGGGAGGGGAAGGGAAAAAAACAAATTGTTTAAATAGGGATACAGGTGGACCCATGTATAAGACATTATGTTGAAAAATGAACTTTACAACTTTGGTGGGGCGGGAGAGGAATGGGGAGTGGGGGAAGGGGGTGAACTGGGAGGGCAGGGATGGTAAGGGGAAACAAAGGAGGAGGCAACAATGCTTGATAAGACACGTACTCATTACCTTGTTCATGTAATTGTAACCCCTCTGTACAGTATTTTTACAATAAAAAACATATTTAAAATTTTGCTAATTGTACTTAAAATGATCATGGTTGATGCTCTTGGGAATTTAGACTATTGAGCCACTGGTTAATTAAATACTGTTAAATACAATCTGCATCATGGCCTTATTACCTATAGAGAACACTAATGTTTCAACACCACATGCCTTGTCACACACATAGTACGTCATCTCACAGAGCTCTCAGCGAAGATCTAAACAAGAAGCTTGTTATACGCATCCTGTGCATGAGGAAACAGGCCCACAGGCACTAAAGGATTTGTCAAGTTAAGGGGCTGGGAGCAAGGCTCAAGTGGTAGAGTACCTGCCTGGCAAGTGGGAGGACTTGAATTCAAAATCCCATACTGTGACCTTAAAGAGAAAAGAGCTTTCTCTGTTAATATCTAAGTGTTAGAGCAGAACTGTTAATGCAAAACTAGATCTTTCCATTCCTTTTCTAACTTCTAGTTAGCCTGTTATGTCATTGATGACAAATCTATAGCATCACATTATAGCATGATGAATCCATAAAAAATCACATCTTTACATTGAAAAATGAACCATTTCAAAATACTATCAACTTCTCAACAACAGCAAAATAGGAAAAATAGATAATAATGAGCTTCAAATTTAATGAATAATTGATGAATAATTTAATGAATGTATTTTATATATAGTACTCCTCCCCCTTAAATTAATAAAACATGCCTCAATAAAAACTGCTAATACTCAGGCTTGTTTTCAACCCACTTCATCCCTCCCAAACTTCTGTTCTGATTACAGGATTAGTAAGTGAACCTAGATTTACATGGAAATTACTCCTGAGAAATGGATTGAAATACTAATTTAAGCACCAAGAAATCATGATAATGTTCTTTCATCTAAACCGTAATCTTAGAGACCACATGCAGGGGGAGGGGAGCAAGGACTTAGTTAATATTTATATTTTGAGGCATATTTCCAGAGGTTAAAAACTGACCTTGTAAGCACTGGTGCCTTAAATAAATAAAAATCTAACATGCCATCTTTGTGCATGGTCAGTCAGCAGTACATAGCCATATTTAGAATATATGTCACTTGCTTGAATTGCTGCTCAATTATCCAATCACAAATTATTAAACAAATATTTATTAATTGTGTTATGTGCCAGGAATTTGATTAGAAGACAAATTACCAGTGTGACTGTTACTTTTGACTGTCAATCTGACAGGACTGAGAACATTGGTAAAGCATACTTCTCAGTGCATCTACAAGGGTGGCTCCAAATACCATTACTACATCATGAGAACTCTGACCTAATTGATAGTGTAATCCACCAATAGAATCAAAATTAAATGAACTAATGGTGAGACAGGATGTCAAACTATGGGAGGTGGAACCAAATTAAAGATTTGAGTTGCTGGGGAGAGAGCACATTCTTTTTTTTTTTTTTGGGTCCGGTCGTGGGGCCTGAACTCTGGGCCTGGGCGCTGTCCCTCAGCTCTTCAGCTCAAGGCTAGCGCTCTACCACTTGAGCCACAGCGCCACTTCCGGCTTTTTTCTGTTTGCTTATGTGGTGCTGAGGAATCGAACCCAGGGTCTTGAGCATGCAAGGCAAGCGCTCTACCACTGAGCCACCTTCCCAGCCCCACATTCTTGACGGATATTTTAGAACCCTGGTCCTTTCTTCTTTCTTGGCTTCCTGTCCACCATGAAGTGAGCTACTTGGACAAATGTCCTTGCCTTGATAGGCAAGTTCAGACCCCTATCAATAGAACTACCCAATTGTGGGCTGAAACCTTCCACACCATGGGCCCAAACAAATCTGTTTACTTTTAAATTGTTTCTTCCACTAGACATTGATGACAGCGATGAAAAGTTAACACAGTAAAATTCCCACTCTATCTAAGAGGAGGAAGAGAGAAGAGTGGATGAGGAAATTTGGATCAACACAATAACATACATGAATTAACTTCAAAAAGGGGTAAATAATAGGAGACAAAATAAGGTGATGTCAGGCTAATTTAGATGGCACATCACAGAAACAAGGAAAGAGGCCAATTCTACAAATCAAAGGATAAAGTGCTAGCCTTGCAAAGATTGCTGATGGCAGGTAAGCAGCAATGAACTTGATATTTTCTATCAATAACAACAACAACAACAAGGCTATTCAGGTGATGGGCTGCAAAGGGAAAGGGAAAGGTGAGATAAACACAGAGGTAAGTAAGGTGGCCATAACAGGGTCTGGTGAGCCACAGGATGACATGGGGTGGGGGAAGGTGGGAAAAGGGTATTAACTTCACGGGTGACAATTCTGTTTTGTGGTGTGATTTATAGCTTAACAAGGTCATTGTTGCCCTTTCTGCTGTGGGTACTGACTGAAACACACACACACACACACACACACACACACACAAAGAGAGAGAGAAAAAGAGGTAACTGTAGTAATCCAATAGGCAGATCAGGATGGTATTCAGTAAGAAGGACAGCAGAAGAGATAGTTATTTCAAAGAAGAATACATTTCAGGAATTAATCACGAGCAAGATTAACTGTGGTGAAGGGGCAAATGAAACTAAGTTTCCTATCTTCTGGCAAGCTCTTATTCCATTATGATTGTCCACAGTGTCTGGACATACAGAAAATAAAGTCCTCCAAGTCAATCATATATTTTACAACTGATTTAAATTGCTTATGGATGAGACCAGAAATACAGAATGAAAGTAAAGAAAGACCAAGTCTTGATATTCAAAATTAATCTGACCCTCCTTGTCAGACTATTTCATTGTCTTGGCAAGCATAGGGAACATCATCCCACTGGCCCTATAAGACCCTTCCTGCCCCAATCATTTGGTGCATGGAGAGGAAGACATATGCTTGTCATCAGTTGTGGGAGATTTGTCTGCTGTATTGATAATTTTCTATGGCCTTCAAATGAGGTTACCATGGCCCATGGCCCATGGGAAAAAATGGTTCCCCATCCCTGAGACCAAAGGTCTTATGCAATACTAGGCAAATTTACTCTGAAAGCATGATGAGATGAAAAAAAGCAAGACCACTTCATGATTCTATCTAAATTTGAAAAAGAAAGATTACTATAGAACTCAGAAAATGCCAAAAACTTAGGGGCTGAGAAGGTGGCTCAGTGGTAGAGCGCTTGCCTTGCATGCCTGAAGCCCTGGGTTCGATTCCTCAGCACCATATAAGCAAAAAGGAAAAAGCCGGAAGTGGCGCTGTGGCTCAAGTGGTAGCGCACTAGCATTGAGCTGAAGAGCTGAGGGACAGCGCCCAGGCCCAGAGTTCAGGTCCCACGACAGGACCCCCCAAAAAAACAAACAAAAACCCCAAAACTTAGTCTTGTTGCTAAGTGACTTAAAATCTTAGAGAAACCCTAACTTCTTTCCATTATCTTTGAAATTCCCCAACCAAAGCCAAAATTCTGTATGTATGTAAACACATACAGTGATGCTCCAGATTCTCCATGAAATAATCTTCTCTTTCATTGAAAAAAAAATTATTCAGCTAAATGCCTGTAACCTATTTATGTGGCCTGGTGGTCTCTGGACAAAGGATGTTGATCTAGAAGAGTTCATCATGTTCAAATACAAAAACAATTCCCTTTCATA